TGATCTGGCCCCCAATGACTTCTTTCTTTACCCAAAGATAAAGGAAATATTGAAAGGAAGATATTTTGATGACGTTCAGGACATCAAGGGTAATACAACCACAACTCTGATGGTCATTCCAGAAAAAGAGTTCCAAAATTGCTTTCAAGGGTGGACTAGATGCTGGCATTGGTGCATAGCTTCCCAAGGGGAGTACTGTGAAGGTGACCATAGTGATATTCAGCAATGAGGTGTGTAGCACTTTTTCTAGGATGAGTTTGCGAACTTAATTGTCCAACCTCGCATATGGATCTGTATCTATATATCTATATCTATATCATCTATCTTTATATATCTCCCACTTCTGCTTCTCTGAAGAACTCTGAACTCTAACTAATACACTCACAGCAAATATTAGAATGCTACAGAAAGAATGAAGACTCTGTCATCAGTTCTCTTTTATTCTTCTATTGTTCTATTGACAAACTTCCTCATTGGGGCTGTCATTTAGTTCATCAAAGGACTGTGGCTAATGATATAACTTATCACCAAGTATCTTAAACCAATCTTACATCATGGCAAGCATATATATCTAACAGTAGTCCAATTCTAGAATTAATAGGAAAAGAAAGCTTTGTTATTCAAAGACCAAATTGAGTTTTACACAGTAAAATATCTGTTAACAGCTAATAAGTACAGCTGATCATTCAGTATAGGATCCCAAATATATGGGTATAAGTGATAACTGGAAGACTATGCTTGAGAAACATGGAAAAATGTTATATTTAACAGAAATTACACAACATTTAATCTATATTATTATTTTAACAATGCAAATGCACGCATAAATGTGAAACAAATTAGGACACTGAATGGCAATGTGTTTTGACGTAGTTTTCTCTTTAATTTTTGTTGCAATGTTTGTGTGATACAAATGAGAGAGAAATTACCTTTGAAACACAGTTATTCATTTTAGCAAAATTTTTGTGGAAACTATATGACTAGTCTTAAACCAGAACACAAGCACTGAAATCATAGAGGCTGCAGTTTATTTTTATTAACTTAGTTCTTAATTCAGGTTGTCACTAGATTCATCACAGTTATCATTATCAAGCACTTTCTATGTGCTAGGACTGTGCTAAGCATCTTATAGATTCTCTTCTAATCCTCACAACAGGGACTATTTGTATCCCTTCATAGAGGTTTAATTAGGGTCACATGCCTAGTTAGTGATGAAATTAGGATTTCAACCTAGCCAGCCTGGCTCCAGGGCCATGGAAGGTAATGACAGGTAATCTTCACGGAGCAATTGTAAACTGAAAGGATGCTACATATAACTCTATACAATCTGAAACTATATATCTGGAACCGTAAGGGGGAAAAACTTATACACATTTCCTTTCCACTAGTCTAGCATTTCAATTAGACATGTGTGTCTCTATTTGTCTCACAGCTTAAAAACTAGACCTGAGGCTTCTTTAGAACTGTATGTTTACAGTTCATCACAATGAACCAATAGGATTCATTTTATTAAACAGCCTGTTGTTACACTCAAACTCATTGTAGCTTTTTTTTAATCTTTCTAATTGGGATTTTAAAAATCACATTGTACTTTAACCCTGTGTAACCTGCAATACCCTTTACAAAAAGCAACACAGCTTTTTTTGTTTGTTTACGGCTTTTTTTGTTTGTTTACTTTTCATATGTAAGTGATGAAAATGGGAAAAACAGAAACTAGACCCAAAAAAAGGGTGGGGGGGGGACAAAACGAGCAGTGAAGAGATTGAGAAAAAGAGAAAGATGTTTATAAGATGAAAAGGAAGGAAAGGCGGGGTGGGGGTGGGGCTAAATTAGATTGGAAAAGAAAAAAGAAAGGGGCTAGGAGGGAAGAGGAACACGTAACCTGTCTTCTAAGTTCTTGCCAAGTGTAAATCAACAGATTCTGATGCCTGATCTTGAAAATGTTCTTCAGCTGGTTTACAACTGTCCATGACTTCCCAGCGACTTCATTCGTAACCGTTCATCTCCATGAGTTGGTGTTAACCACAGCCGACTGGAGTTTTCTGAACTGCTGTCGCAGAACTCAAAGCCGCCTTTACTCTCTTTCTATCTAAAGGGGCTCAAGATTGCCTACATTGTTGCCTGTATGCATGCTTTTTTTTTCCTCAAAGCATCCTTCATTCCCCATTTATTTTGGTTTTCGCGGTGCTGGGGATTCCCGCAGGGATGCGATGGAGATGGGGTCGCTGGGACCGGGGCTAGGGTTTTGCGTCCCTTTAGGCAAGCCAAATACAGAAAAGCGGGAAGAGAGAGAGGGCTAAGACTGCCAAGCGCTGAAAGGAAGAGATTGGGTCAGAAAGGAAAGGGTGACAGGTGAATCAGCCTTCGGGAGACTGTGGGCATTAGACTGGCTCCCAGGCCAGGCAGATGCACTGGGCAGCCACAAGTTACCGTAGCAACCGTGAGATCGCGCGAGACAGGCATTGCGCCTGCGCGCTGCTGCTGTAGGGCCCCGCCCGGAGCTCCAACCCTCCTCCCCCACCCTCCGCTCCCAATTTTAAAGATTGCTTCGCTTCTGTCCCGCGCGATGCGGTGAGCCAACCTTCTCTGTTGTGAGTGAGCTAACGCAGAATGGTGAAATGTGAAGTTCCCTGAGCCTCTGGACATCGGGGCTGGGGAGGGCGAGGACCGTGCGCACGCGCGTGGCGGTGCACGTGGACCCGGCGCTGTAGCGATCGTGAGTGGGAGTAGGGCGCCGGGGACGCAGAGGGGTAGCAGGAGCCCACTCCTGGTGGGATCCGGGCTGGGACTCGGCGAGTGTGGAGCCTCGCGGGCACGCAAGGCCTCCAGGGCTTCCCCGGGACTGCCGCTTCCCCGGCCCCCACCGTCCGGACGGGCATCTTCTCCTGCCTCCAGGCCGAGGCTCACGCTCCGCTGGTCGCTTGCAGTTGAGCGTCTTTTGGGGTACGAAAAATATAATAGTAATGCCCCACCCTGGCCCTTCGTTACTCCACATCCTTGAAGTGGAGATAGACCACAAAATACAACCGCGTTTGCCAAGGAGCAAAGTACGAAGGCACTAGGTATAGGGGCGACATACAAAGGGAGGGAGGGGTTCACTCTGGGTCAGGGCTGCAGCCTCTGGGAACTGGGGCTCTCCTTCCCTCCGCTACCGGATCCAGAAACCTGGAAGCATCTGAGTCCTTTATCTGCTTTACTCCTAGTTGATCCCAAAGTCGGGTAGATTTTTACTTCTTATTTCAATTAACATGTATTTCTGTCCATCCCCTCAGCCGTGACTCTGGCAGGCCACCATCGTTTCTTACCAGGGCTTCTCTGGGACCCCCTTTGCTGCTTCCATTCTTGGTAAAGGACCCTTCCAGGCCCGCATCCACGAAGATCTTTGTGTAGTCTTTCTCATCATGCCGCTTCTTTGAAACGTTAGTCACTTCCCACTCCAAGGCTTGCAAGGATCTTCACCATCTGGTCCTTACCTACCTTTCCTAATATCTCACCACTCTCTCTAGCATCTCTACCCCAGAGACACTGAACTTATTTCGTTTCCTTTAATGCTGTTCCTTGGATACTCGGTCCACTTCTACTTCCTTTGGTAGGCATTCTTCAGAAGTGGGTTAAAAGGTGGCTTCCTTCAGGAGGCCCTTCCTGATCTCCCAACGAAGTCAGGCTTCTGTTATATGTTCCCTTAGCGTCTTGTAGTTCCCTGACCTGAATGCGCACCTCTTAGTGTATTATTACCTGCTGATATGTCTTGCTCATAGATTCTAAGCTTAGTGAGACCAGTGACTTTTTTTCTGTAGTACTTTATGACTTGGTGCATTGTGGATAATCCAGAAATACTTGTGGGAGTAAGAAATGTGGTTGTGGGACTGAGAATGGGAGTATTCCAGGCAGAGGGAGTAATGTGTATAAAGACGCAGAGGTGATGCAGTGGGTGAAAGGTGCATGGTGGGGCACATAAGGAGAAAGGCTGGTGGGGACATGGGGACAGACGGTGAAGGGCCTTGTATGTCACCTTGAAGAGTTTGCACTTGATCCTATAGGCAATAGTAGAGGCCTCCAAGAATAGCTCAAAAGGCACTGCCAAGGGCTGCCTATTTTTCTCCTCCAAAGCTGTTACTTCTTAGCAGTCAATACTTTGTTTTTGGATTATAGGTCATAAGATTCTGCTTATCTGAACTTCTTGGCTGTCGTCTCCCCCACTAGATTCTGAAGATTGGAGTTAAATTGCCTACCTTGCTTTCTCTCCGGAGCACATAGCTGTAAGTATTTAAGTATGTGTTCTGTGTTTGAATGCTGAGACATTCACTGACTTGCAGTGTGGCAAGAGCTGTCACATCCTATTTGTCTTGCTTGTCTTCCTGACCACCTCCAACCTGATGCCAGCCTCTGCCAGTTACCCTTGGATTTGGATGAGCTATTTCCTGGTTCTCTGAGCTTGAGGGGAGCATGGAGATAATGGGGGCTGGGGAGGGAAGTGCAGCGGAGCTGGTGTGAAGGCTGCAGACACTGAGTCTCTGGCAGTGGGCACTAATGACATGAACAAGGTTTGACCTCTCACCCCAAGGAACTGAGTTTTGGTTTCCTGTAAGAAGGTGACTTAGGAGCAACACTGGAGACCAGTAGAGTCAGGAGACCATTTCTGAGGGCTCTCCAGCATGGAAAGGCCACCTGTCCTACACCTGCGGTTCGTTCCTAATTATAGTTCATATCAGATTCATCCAGATAGTGTTTTACAAGTCCAGGTGCCCCGGCCCGATTCCCAGGGATTCCAGTTGAGTAGATCCAGCATATGGACCATCCATCTGTATGTTTTAAAGGCCATGGGTCATTTTTGAGGTGCAGCCAGGATTGGATTTAGATTTGAGCAAGAGTATTTGATCTGAGTCTATTTCCTCATCCACACATTGGGCAATTATACAGGAACTTTGAGACTCAAATAATGGAGAACGTGCCTTATAAATTCTGACACACTCCACAGACACACTTGCTCATGAACGTCAGTAGCCAGCCTGGTAAGTGGGAGTTTAATTGGAGAGGACTTAATTCCTAATCCTGCAGGGGGTGTTTCGGGGAGGGCAGGCCTCGGTGGGATAAAGGACCTGGATGAAATAAGGTAACATCTAGAATGAGAAAATCTGGTTACCTGAAAATAGGGACAGGTCCCAACTCCAGACTTCTCCAGGGCTGGCTTATTTAACTTCCTTGAGTTTTGCCACATGGGTCCCTATGGTCCTTAGCTGAGCCTGGTAAGATGATCAGGAAGAAAACTGAGGGGAGAGAAAGCGATATGCAGCTGCCTCTGGGCAGGAGAAACAGGATGCGCTCCTAGACCAGTGCTTTGTAACATTTTCCCAGTTTAACGATCCTTCTGGTTATTTTTCCTTAATGGATAAATGTCTTTAAATTTCATTACAAAATTTCTCCAGTTTTCATCAACTTGCCAGCTGAAAGGACAGTCAGCTTGAAATGGCCATAGGAAGGGGGACTGTCTGCCTGCATATGTATCCAATTTTAGGAAGGATATATAAGAAGCTTGGCCCAATGAAGGCTTACAAAAGGGCATACAATGAAAATATCATTTAAATCGTCAGTCATGCGCATATATTCCTGTTCCAGTTCTTTAAAAATATCACAACTGGTTAATTATAAGTGTCAAGAGGCTTCCAAGGCCCTCACAGATTGAGCTCTGTTGCAGGCAGACATGGGGACTCGTTCACTGCTGAACCCCAGTGCCTAGAACATGCCTGCAATTGGAGGGGCTCAGGAAGATCTGTTGAATGGGAACCTAACTAGAGAGCATTTTAGAACATGGTAAGAAAACTATAAGATTAATGCCACAGTCATTGAAATGATATACTTATGAACAAGTAGAAACATGGAACATCTTTAATAAACGAAATAAGTAGAATTTCACTGTGACTGCAGTAATGTAAAACATTCATATGTTGCCTGTATATGAATAAAGACAAAGTCATATGAAAAAAATGGGAAAATAAACTACTGAAGCTTAAAAGAGAGGTTTAAGTGTGTGGTCATATAATTGGTCCTTGTAATTAGGCTTGTGATAGCCTATTAAGAATCAGACCTAGTACCACGGGATGTTAAGACATGCATTGGTAGTTAACATCAATTTCCCTTTATCGTTTGGCTTCTCGATGAAGGATTTTCAGAATGGCCGCAGCTCCTCAGGCACCAGGGAGGGGCTCTGTTCGGAAGACAAGGCCTGTGAGTGTAAAAACGTCGTTGAACAACCCATACACTATCTGCTGGAGTGCTCTGCAGAGCGAGGATACGCACTTCATCTTACAGACACTTGAAGACAGGTTTAAATCGATTGGACTTAAGAAGATTGAGGATAGGAAGAGAAAGAAAAAGCAGCCTTTTTTAAAAAAACAAAGCAAAGACAAATGTAGCACAGATGCTGATATGCATGAGGATCTGAAGGAGAGAAAACCAGAAGACACCCAACAAGTGTCGGGGTGGACTCCTGTCCACGTCAGGAGGCAGCTCGCCATTGGCGTTAATGAAGTCACCAGGGCTCTGGAACGGAACGAACTGCTTTTAGTTCTGGTGTGTAAGTCTGTCAGGCCTGCCATCATCACCTCCCACCTGATTCCATTAAGTTTAAGCAGAATGGTTCCTGCTTGCCAGGTTCCTCGTCTTAGCGAGAGGATCGCGCCTGTCATTGGCTTACAATGTGTCCTCGCCTTGGGATTCAGGAAGACCACCACTGACTTCGTCAATGAAGTAAAAGCTGTGGTCCCCAGAGTACCCAGTTTAAATGTACCGTGGCTTCAAGACAGACTTGAAGACTGCAGGGACAATTCAGAGGCCAAATCTTTGGAAAGCCAAGACAGAGAGATTCTGGAAACTTCCTTCGAAGACCTCTCTAAACACAGAAAACTCGCTGAAGGTCAGCAGGCTGTAGTGTTACAACCCCTTAAAATAAAGAAACTGATCCCAAACCCTAATAAAAAAAGGAAACCACCTAAAAGTAAAAAAACTACTTCAAAGTAATCTTGTATAAACTTATCATCTGGAAAATGATGCCTTGTAAAAAAGCCTTGAAACTAATAAAATGAGTTAACTTTTACATATATATTCTTGGGACTTTGGGAATGTTCCTTTCAAATGTGTAAGACTTTGTACAGCACAGATATGCTGAAGCTTAAAAACTCTTTAAGTGCAGAAAATATTCAGAAGTATGCATATCAAAACAAAAGTTTTATTGAAACTAATGTCCATGCTTGTATAAATTCTTTTTTTTTAAAGGCTGGTACACTGCTTGTGAGCAAGAACATCTGTCCTACAGCTCTTAACATCTTTCTATCAAACTTGGAAAATGCGCCACAGTTAACACAGTTCTAGTTAGCAGGGTGGATGAAACTGGATTGCAGATATGTCATCAGTGAAAGGAAAGATAATGAACGCCAAGCAATACATAATCTTCAAGAACAAATACATCATTTTTCCTTTCTATTTGACCTTGTAGTTAGGTGTAAGCATGGGCTTGGGAGAAAAGGCTTGACATTTACAGAAAAAGCCAGATAAGGTCTTTTGACTAGTTAGAATTCACCCCTTTTCATGGTTAACTTATTTCCTTGGAAATTTAACATGTACAAAAAGTATGCTGGTAATTATGTGAAATGAGGCAGAAGAGAATAAAAGTTAACTGAGGAGCTTGTACTCTTCAGAGGTGGGTCTACAACTACAGGCACCCTTCATGTTAGGGAATGGAGCATAATCAATGCTCCGTATTCAAGTGTCTGCTGCTTCCAGTGTGTGTTTGGAAAAGTTACTTTCTCTAATTTAGAGGGAAAGGTTGCCAAAGTTTATTTTCAGCCTAAATTCTGGTTAACTCATGGATTACGCCAACTCCACTCATTTAGATTTTACTGAAAGCCACCTCGGCAAAATGAAAAAAGAAGAGTACCTCATGAAATAGAACATTTCCATTGTTGAAACAGGATGCAGGACAAATGTTTTGGGTTGTCAAAAAAGTCATGACGTATTTTTTCTGTTTTTCGTTGCAAAAATGCGTCATAACTTTTCTGACAACCCAATAGTTTCTTTGAACATATAAGACTGTATATTACATTGAAATTTGGTTCTAATAGCTACTTAATAAACACAAGCAGTTTTACTGATTATTTTAAAATGTTCATTGGCAATCTGTTTAAATTATAGAGGAAAATGTGCTAGTTACTAATAACATTTTAAATGGCAAAAATATGAATTCTATAACAATTGGAATTTTATAAATGAATAAATTAACAATGCCACAGTTTCATCACAAGCTAAGCTCATGACAAAATTTCTGACTGGCAATTCTGCAATTACTTGAAAACCTACTTTGTATGACTTTGTGCCATAAATATGAATGGAACATTAATTCCCAACTAAAGCCTGGATGCCAGATTAAGTTAAAATCTCATTTACTTAATGCTGGTATCTCAAAAAAAAAATGTTTCCGTGAATTGGTTCAGTTTTGCTTCTCGGAGCCTTTCATCTTCTGTTAAGAAAAAATGGTACTGCAACCAGGTTTGAATCATCCCAAATGAGAAGTCTTCCTTTGGGTCTTCAAGAAAGTAAACAGCACTGTCCTAATTCTGCTCTACTGTGGGGCCCACATGCGCCCTCTACTGGTAGTTCAGGGGTACCACAGCTGTGCGCTGGTCTTTGGGATAATGGCAAGTTGCAGGAGTGGCTTTCAGCTCCTTAGTGTAAATCAGGCTCAACAAATCTTTTCTGTTAAGGGCCAGAGAGTAAATCTGTTAGGCCTTTCGGTTGCGACAGTCTTTATCAAAACATCTCAACTTTGCCCTTTGTAGCGTGAAGCAGCCACAGGCAATACAAAAAGGAATGAGTGGCACTGTTACAATAAAACTATGGATGCTGAAATTTGAATTTTGTACAATTTTCACGTCACAAAATGTTATTATTGTGCCCCAATCACTCAAAAATGTAGAAAACATCCTTGGCTTGTGGGCTGTACAAAAACAGGCGATGGGCTGGATTTAGTGGATGGGCCATAGTTTGCTAGTTCCTGCCTGGTATAAGATATAATTGGTTTCATTTGACTACTTATAGCGTGAAGGAAAAGCCATCACTTCTAAAATGATTAAATTTTTCTGGACTGGACAGCCTAGGCACTGGAAGAGGAAAGGCAGGAAGTACCGACTTTGTGATATTTGAGTGAAGGCCAGTTTCTGTGGCTTTGATTAGCATCTTTTTTCAACTCGGACTATTGGCAATATATACATATATATGTACACTGTGAAACTTGGTTTTTCGAATTCTAGATAAAAACACCATCAGTAACAAAATTATGAATACTTATTTACAAATAAGACATTTTCCATTAGCATGACAGCTTTCATGATAAATTAAAGCCAGCCTAAAGGAATATGTGCAATTTTGCATAAGTAATAAAAACATTCAAACTATCAATGTCCTGATAGTACTAGTAAATTCCACTGGGCATTTCTTTTGACTTTAGAGCTTTCGTTTTTCTTTTCCTGACATATCCTTGCTGTTGCTTAGAAGAAACTGGAGTTTGTGCAGCAGCAGAAACATGTAGCCAGTCATGGTACATACTATTTCAGAGAGCACACTTACTTGCACAAAACTTTGCTTTTGAACCAACCCAACGATCTGTTAAAAATTAAAATACAAACGTGTGTTTTTACTGATTTGGCAACTTTGCTTCTGGAGAAATAAATGTAGTAATCACCAGTACATTTTTATCTCGCTCTACACATAAACATCCACCACTCATCACTGAGTTACAGAAGTGCTGATTCCATAACTTCCTAACGACAGCATGGAAGGTGAGATAAGTAAAAACCTCCCACATGGATCCTCCATTCTGTTACACAGGCAGACCACCACTTAATAAATAGAAATGCAGCCGTTTACACACAATAGCAAAGATTTTCTTAACACAATTCTGTGACTTCTGTTCCGTCCATAAAAAAAGTCCCTTTTCTAAAGAATGAAAAAATAACCTCTTCCTCAAGAGATAGCCAAAAGTCTGAAAATTAGAGGAACGAACTCTTTGTACACTTTTATCCCTCCTACAAATGGGTCAACAGTGGAAAAAAAGGGAAGAATGTTAACCTCCTAGCTAGAAATGGGTAGTATTTGTCACACATGAATGTTTTGTCATCTTTTCTGGTTGTTACCAGCTGAATTGATTTCACTTAAGTTGTGCTTTTATTCTTCTTTGGAATGGCAGTTCCAGGAATCATTAAATGGTGTCAAAGTTCTATACATGGAAATCTCCACCTATTGTAATACAAGTCCAACCTACAGGGAGGGAAGAAATGGAATAGTAAGAACAGGTAAGCAAGAAAAATTACAATGTAGTACAATAGATATGTGTTTTTAAAAAGCTACTAAAAAACTTAACAATCCTAAGGGAAGCAAGTATGGAATTTCCTGGGTAAATTTGTTTACATTTATAAAGGGTAGATCAACTTCTCTTACCTTTTCAGAATCTGTCCCTGGACACCTCCAATTGTACAAGTAATAGTGTAAATTGCCATCTCCTATACCAAACTTGAGCTTTTCCAAGAATGTCTTATTTTCCATCAAATCTAGTGCATTGAATACATCAAATCCTTTCTGCCAATGTAAAAAGAATTTAACATTTAAAATTTCAAAGGATGAGAGTGTTTTCTATTGTATGCATTTGAGTATAACATTTAATTCCTATACCAATATCATGAATATACATTTATAATAAGGTTTAATGTCAGCAATATATAGTATAGGTTAAGAATTCAATTCAAAATGTCTTACACAACTAGTAATGAATCTAATGGAGTCAGCAAAATTATCCAGAAATGCTGAATCAAAAAATAGTATGCTGGCTAACACTGACATAAAGTAATCTATTAAGATTTCAGAAAATATTTTGTCCCTGTTTTAGAAGGAACAGTTGTCTAGATGGCTCCATCTCCAGTATTGTTAGTTATTGGCCTTTCTAAGTTCTGACTTAGCTGAAGCTATATCCAAGAAACCGAAGACGTAAAAACTTTAAATAGTATATTTTTCTTGGGCTGATACTGAGAAATAAATTTAGTAAAATTTTAATAGTAAAAATCTAATTTCTTTTAAATATTAGATAATAATACTATGCAATAGATGGAAGCACCTAAATTTCTATTTCTCATGGTTTTTACTTTAAATAACTTAATCACAGGCCTTTTTGGGGAAGTAGTTGAAAACAAGCAATAGGATCAAAGAATCAGAGGATAATGTTGATTTTGGGGTCCAATAGTAATAGATTAAGAAAAAATGTTTTCAATTATCAAATACTATATAAATGCAAGGAAGACACTTCTGATGTATTGTTCTCAATTTCTCATTAACATATTTCTCAACATTCAATAATTACATTAAAATGTATCTGCCAGTTGATTTCAATTTCTTTTTAAAGGAAAATGTTTATTTGGAGCAGGAATTTAGCAACTGTCCTAACTACTACACTGAGGATAAAGAAAAATAATGTAACTATATAGCAAGGCACATTTTGAATTTAATTCCTTTCATTTTAAATTCTATTCATTTTAACCATCTTAATTTTAAAAATAAAATTCCTTTAATTTTAAAATTCAGAGACTATTTAGATGAATAAAAAAACTTACTCTTGCTAATTATTCACTGCAACAGAATCACTCATGTATTTCTCTTATATTACTTTTATTATGGGTGTTCTGTATTATATAAGGGTTAAAAGTTTCTAATTTGTACAAAATGTCTTTCTGGTTAAGATGCAATAGAATTAATGATGAAAATAGCCACTAAAGTTTTAAAAGACATTCTGATCAAAATTCTTCTTTTGACTCATAGTCAACAGTAAAAAGTACCTCAAATGAATTTCCCAGTAAGATGTAAAATACAGTAAGATGTTTTCTATACTTTGACACACATATTTGGAGAAACACAGAGGACAAAAGGGAGTGGGTCGCTCACCAGTTTAGCTATAATGAGTGCATCATTCATGAGGTCCAGCAGGGGCGTCTCGGTGTGAATGTTGTAGAACGAGTAGGCAGCTTTGAGGCTCTGGTGAGCAGGGTGGTGCATGACTGTGGAGGGGAGTGTGTAGAAGCTTAGGAAGTCAGTCAGCTTACCACTGGAGTTCTGAAGAACAAAGGTAATGTCAGGTAAGTACCTCCTAGAACACATTTCATCCACGCGTTTAAGCTAACTTTGATCTTTGATTTACACCGTAACTTCTGTTAGAGCCAAAAAGCAACAACTCATACTTATATCTTGGCAGTCTGACATGGAGCCCCGTAGAGGATGTTGTGTCGAGACTGAGAAGGGCACGGGGCTGTAACCTTAGCCTGAGTGCCAAGTAACGATATGCATAAAGATCTGAAGAAAACAATGTTGTAAAAGGAAAGCTTTCCTTGGGATGACTAATGAGTCTCTAGACTTATGGAAAAGTGGTCAAAGTATAGAATACCAGTTCAACTGACAGCGGATTTCTCACCTGTAATCGCAGAGGCCAGAAGAAAGTGACATAACATTTTTTAAGTGCTGAAAGAAAAGAACCATAAACTGTTGAATTCTATATCTGGTGAAACTATTCTTCAGGAATGAAGGGGAAATAAGGATATTCTCAGACAAATGAAAACCAGATGAATTTGTTGCTAGCAGACATACCACTTAGATTAGCAAAGGAAATTACTAGAGACAAAGAGGGGTATTACATGATAATAAAAGTCCGATCCACAAAGAAGATATAAAGGTCCTAAATGTATAATTACCAAACAAGACCCCCAAAATACATCAAGAAAAACTGACAGAGCTGAAAGTAGAAATGGACAAATCCACAATTATAGTTGGGGACTCTCACACCTCTCTCATCAACTGATAGAACTACTAGAAAGAAAATCAACAAGGATTTAGAAAATCTGACTAATACAATCGACAGGTATAATTGGCATATAAAGAACACTCCACCTAAAGTTTCACACACACACAACATTCACCAAGATAGGGCCCTAAAAAGACCTCAAGAACCTTAACAGAGGTGAAATCCTACAGAGTGTGTTCGCCAACAATAATAGAATGAAACTAGAAATCAATAGGAAATCTCTAAACACATCAAAATTGAACTACAGAATTCTAACTAATCCATGGGCCAAAGAGGAAGACTCAAAAGAAATTTAAAAATACGTAGAACTGAATTAATATGAAAACACGACATACCAAAATATTTAGGATATATATTTAAGACATTTACAGAACTAAATGCTTACACTGTAACAAGGAAAGGTCTTAATAATCTAAGTCCCTCCCTTAAGGAACGAGAAAAAGAAGAGCAAAATAAACCCAAAGCAAGCAGAAGAAAGGAAATAAACATAATATCAGGTATCAATGACAATGAAAATAGGAAAACAGAGAAAATCAGTGAAACAGAAGCTTGGTTCTTTGGGCGAAAATCAATAAAATAGATACAATGCTAGCAAAACTGACAAAAATAAAGAGAAGATACAAATCTTCAATAGCAGGAATAAAATAAGGTTTATGATTATAGATCCTGCTGCCATTAAAAGAATAACAAAAGAATAATTATGTACAATTTTACTCTTATAAATTTGACAATTTAGAAGAAACGGACCAATTCCTCAAAAAAACAAACTATTAAAACTCAGTCAAAATGAAATAGTTCGGGTCGGCAAACTGCGGCTCGCAAGCCACATGTGGCTCTTTGGGTACGTTCTGTCTAAAAAGTTTGCCGACCCGTGGAAGAGCCAATCCTGTCCCTCACAACAATTTAAAAATTATTTGAGAACCATAAATACATTTTTACAAATAAGGAAAATTTAAAGTAATATTATAAATGAAACTATGATAGTTTTATTTTCATTTTCAATTTTACTTCTGAGCCACATGTACGTACCCAAGGAGCCGCATGTGGCTCGCAAGCCACAGTTTGCCGACCCTGGCGGCTCTTCTGTCTCAAAAGTTTGCCAACCCCTGAAATAGATCATCTGAATTGTCCTGTACCATTAAAGAAATTGAATTCATGATTTTAACAAAAAAAAATTCTCTAAGGTCAGATGGTTTCAACTGGAAAATTCTAGCAAACATTTAAAGAATTATCACCAATTCTATACAATCTCTTATAAAAAATAGAAGGGGTGGTAACACTTCCCAACTCATTTTATGAGGCCAGTATTATCCTGATACCTGGACCAAAGACAGTACCAGAATGAAACAAAACAAACTCCAAATCCCTGCAGACCAATATGTCTCATGAACTCAAAAAGTACTCAACAAAATATTAGTAATCCAAATCCAAAAATATATAGGAAGAATTATACACCATAACCAAGTGGATTTTTTCTAGGAATGCAAGTGTGGTCAACATTTGAAAATCAATGTAATATTGCCACATCAAAAGACTAAAGAAGAAAAAAATCAATCATATCAACTGAAGTAGAAAAGGCAGTGGACAAAATTCAACACCCATTCATGATAAGAACTCTCAGCAAGTTAGGAACAGAGGGCAATTATCTCAAATTGATAAGGAACATCTACAAAAATCCTACAGCTAACATCATACCTCCTGGTGGAAGACTAAATGCTTTTCCCCTAAAATCAAGAACAAGGCAAGAATATCAACCGTCATCACTCTTATTTAACAAAGTACTGGAAGATCTAGACTAGCGGTTCTCAACCTGTGGGTTGCAACCCCTTTGGGGGTGGAACAACCCTTTCACAGGGGTCGCCTAAGACCATTGGAAAACAGAAAGATACTTACATTACGATTCATAACAGTAGCAAAATTACAGTTGTAGAGTAGCAATGAAAATAATTTTATGGTTGGGGGTCACCACAACATGAGGAACTGTATTAAGGGGTCGCAGCATTAAGAAGGTTGAGAACCACTGATCTAGACCCTGCAGTAAGGCAACAAATAGAAATAAAAGGCATATGGATGTGAAGAGAAGAAATAAAACTGCTCCTAGTTGCAGATGACATGATTGTTTATGTAGAAATCCCAAGAAATCTACAAATAAACTCCTGGAACTAATAAGTGATTTGAGCAAGGTTGCAGGATACAAAATCAACACAGAAAACACAACTGCATTTCTACATACTAACAATGAACATGAAGAAACCAAAATTAATAATACAACACGTTTTATAATCGCTTTAAGGAAAATGAAGCATTTAGGTATGCACTTAAGAAAACATGTACAGGGGCTGGCCGAGTGGCGCGTTGGTTAAGAGTTGGCTTGGGACACCAGCTCTGAGCAGCAGGGCTCCGGTTCAGATCCCACATGAGGGCCAGTGACGCTGAGCCCTCCACAGCTAAGGTGGTGAACAACAGCTTGGCCTGGAGCTAGGCTGCCATGAATTGCCTTCTATGATGTATGCTGCAGTGGGCTGCCGTAAGCTACTGTGAGCTGCCATGAGCTGCCGTGAGCGGCCGTCCAATGGCCGGCGACCGATCTGCCTCACCCGGGAAGAGCACAACATGGGCCAGTGAAGCAACGTCCTCCACAACTAGACTTAAGAACCAAAGGACAGCAACTTGTCTGTTCCCCTTCCCCGATTCCCCAATAAAATCTTTTAAAAAATAAATAAATAAAAGTACAGGATTTGGATGCTGAAAATTACAGAATGTTGATAAAATTTAAAAGATCTACTAAATAAATGGAGACATACCATGTTCATGAACTTGTCAGTTCTCCCCAAATTAATCTATGGATTTAATGTAATTCTTATCAAAATCCCAGCAAGGTATTTTGTAGGGAAAGACAAGCTTGTTCTAAGATTTATATGGAAATGTGAAGCAAATAGATTAGCTAAAACAGTCCTGCCAAAGAGGATAAAGTGGGAGACATCACTCTACTCAGTACCAGCGCATCCTATAGAGCTTTAATGATAGAGACAGTGTGGCACTGGTGGAGGAACAGACACAGAAATCAGTGGGACAGAATAGAGAGAACCCAGAAATATGTCACAGTACAAAGTATTAGTATTCAGCATACAGAACTTTTACAAATCAAGAAGGTTACAGTAAAAAAAAAAAACAGGCAAAGTATATGAACAGCAAACTCATATAAGAAGAAATAAAAATGGCTAACAGGTTTATGAGAAGATGTTCAAATTCATTAGTAATAAGAACGTATAAATTAAAAGCAAGATACCATCTGATACCCATCAGACTGGCCTATATTTCAAGTTTGGTCATACTCCCATGTGTTAATGAGGATGTGAGGAAACTGGACCTGTCATGCACTACTAAGAGGTATTTGGCAATCTCTAGTAATGTTAAAGATGCGTGTGACCCTTAGACTCAGCAGTTCAACTTCTACATATATACCCTAGGGCAGCAGTTCTCCAAATGGGGTCTGTGGATGCCTGTGGGTGCCTGAGACCCTTTCAGAAGTCTGTGAGGTCAAAACCACGTTCATAAGAGCACTTGATTCAGAATTGTTAATTTTATTAACTCTCAACCCTTAACAACGTATCTTTTTAACCCTCTGTGCGATGAAATGGAAGAAATTACACACAAAGCACTTGTGCTGTGTACTGAAACACAAAGGCTCAAGAAGCCCTTAGGTGACTGAGTTGTGAGCTGAACTAGCCACTTTTTTTCATGGAACAGCACTTTAAGGTAAGACTGGCCAACTGGTCATTCAGACTTCGGTATTTGGCACTTCCTGAAAATCAATGGTGTGAGCCTATCACTTCAAGGAAAAAACTGGCAGGATTTCTTGCCAGTGATAAAATTTGAGCTTTCTAGTACAAGTTAAAGTTTAGAAAAACCTGTATCCTCCACCAGGAGCTGTATTTTACACTTTTCTGATGATAACAACAGTGGTAATAACAAATGTTGATTTTTTGATATTATATAATGAAATGTCAATATTTGGAACATCTATGTAACTCAGTGAACCAGTTGCAAACTCATACATTGGTAAAAGAGTCACTGAAAAAACAAGATAGACCAGTGGATTTTAATCTAACAGAGTATGAAAAGTTCATTAATATGATTTCAGATACAGAATACCCATAATTATCTGAAAAGGTTATTAGAATACTCATTCTTTTCCATATCTTCAATACTTCATGTGAAGGATTTTTTTTCATGTACTTCAACCAAACAATATATCACAATAGATTGAAGATATAAGAAGCCAGTTGTCTTCTATTAAGGCAGACATTAAAGAGAGTTGCAAATATGTAAAACAATACTATTCAACTAATTTCGTTATTTTGGAAAAAGGTTATTTTTTCATACAAAATATGTTATTTAGGTAAAATGTAATGGGTTTATTACTGTTATATAGTTCTTAAATAAAATGTTTTTTCACAGATTTTTCTTTTTTTACTGAGATGTAATTGACATAACATTATATTAATTTCATGTCACAGTATAATGATTTGATATATGTATATATTGCAAAATGATCACAGTAAGTCAAGTTAACATTTATCATGACACAGTTACAAGTTATTTTCCTTGTGATAACTTTTAAGATCTACTCTCTTAAGCAGCTTTCAGATATACAATACAGTATTATTAATTACAATACCAATATACATTACATCCCCATGACTTACTTTATAACTGGAGTTTATATACCTTTGACCCCTTCACACATTTCTCCCAACTGCCCCCGCCCCCTCCTGCCTCTGGCAACCACCAATCTGTTTCTTTGAGTTTGTTTGTTTTGTTTTTTTACGATTCCCCCATAAGTGAGATCATATGGTATTTGGTTTTTGTCTGATTTATAAAATAATAATATTTAACAATTTTTGTGTTAATTTTGAATACAGTAAATATCTGTAGATATAATCCAGAAAAATATAAAACTCTCTGGGGCCCTCAATAATTCCTAAGAGTGAAGGAATCCTAAGATCGAAAACGTTGAGAAGTGCTGCTCTAGAGAAATTTACACAAGTGAATAAAGGTTTGTATGCAAAGAAGTCCACCCCAGCGTTGTTTTAGATATAAAAATTTAAAAACAAAGACCGCTTAATTGTTCCCCAGAAATGTCCCCTGAATGCACCCTGTTTGCTCCCACCATTATTGCCCTAGCTTGGCCATAATCCTACATCCAGACAATACCTGATAATGCTCAAAATACACTTCTGGCTCAGTGCTTACAGCTGAATGGCAAACAGACCACTACAGTACTTTCTAATGGGCCCCCTCGCTCCCTTCTCTCCTCCAAGTGTTCACCAGAGGAAATTCCAACTTCTCAGCCCAATCCCACTTCAGCCAAAGGAGCGTCTACGTAAAATGTCATTGGAAAACAAATTCCAAGTTTTTATTAAAAAAAACCCAAACGTTTAAAAAGCACTATGTTAAACTCATATAACCAATAGACAGAAAATCTAGATGGTTACTTTTCCTTCTCTTCTCTGACCAAGGGTTGAGTTACGAGGTTGAATTATGCCAATCTCAACCAAAGGCAGTTCAGTTCCAACCAGTTTTGCAAAACCAAAGGAACATTAAACTTTGGAATATATCTACTTTAGTGAAGGTCATCCAAGTTGGCTTCTTCAAAACTGAAAAAAGCTGTCAACTGCCCAGGTAACAATAGAAAAGTATATTGATCTCCCACCCATAAGTAGGAAAAGTGTGCTCTTATCCAGGAATGGACACTGTAAGAACACCTGGTTCTACAGAGATCAGGTATAGACTCCCTAAGTCATAGAGGAAGAGGAGACAGGTGGGCACTCCATGGTCTTTCTGCAAAGCAGACTCAACGGCCCGGCACTTTCATAAATCCCTGTACTGTCGTATCACCTTCTCTTTACCTCCACTACAAACGTGTCAATAATGTGCTCCTGGGGGAGAAACCAGTGGGCTACTTCTTCTTCATCCATCACTGGAGCGAGATGAAACCGCTTCAGGTAACTGTTGGTTAATTCTCGCACTGCTTTGATATCTCTTGGTTCCATTGGTCTCAAGCCTGAAGTCTTTGTTACCTTGTTAGAGTGAAAACAAAACAAATTGGGAAGTGTAAATAGGAGTAAAAGTCCTTTGCGCTCAGTGTGGTGCGCAGACCAGCGTCACAGGGAAGCTTGTTGGAAGTGCAACTCTTGGCCCTACCCCTGATCTACCAAGTCAGACCCTGCAATTTAACAAGATTCCCTGGTGATTTGTATACATGTTAAATTTCCAGAAGCACTAAGCTAGAACATATGGTGGACAATGTGCTGTATCTTATCTCTGTGTGCCAGGTCTTTGGTCTATATTGCCCATGACCCAAACGGAATCAAAGGGACACTCCAGGCGGATCTGTTTACCAATCCCAAGAATTTTAAGTCTATACAAGAGGGCAGAGCAATCTTAGCATGTTCTCTGGAGTATTATGTTTTAAAACTTCCCTGTCTGACATTTTGAAAACACAGCTGAAAAGAGTTGAGACACTTATTTTCTTCAATGGCCTGTGAAAAGGATGTAGCTATTTTGTTCTGGTGAACAACAAAAATGAAATGAAAGTCAATCATATTGATCAGAATGGGAAGGCAAGCATTTTAATAGCCAGGCATTTTCTAAAGGCAGATGGCTGGCTGCCAAGGACTAACCCTGGCCTCTTAGGTCATCATTTCATTAAAAGATGACAGACAGGATAGGCATTTGAATCCATCCTTGCAGAGCGTCACAATTTTTCCATTAGGCCGCAGGAATAAAATAACCTAACAGGGCATTTGGATTTGTTCAATTTCCTGTCCTTCAAAGAGCTCCAGGGCTGGCCGAGTGGTGCGTTGGTTAAGAGCTGGCTTGGGATGCCAGAGGGCCCCGGTTCAGATCCCACATATGAGGGCCAGTGACACTGCCCTCTACAGCTAAGATGCTGAACAACAGCTCAACCTGGAGCTGGGCTGCTGTGAGTCACCGGTGATGGCAGGTGGGTTGCCATGGGCTACCGTGTGTAGCCAGCAGCCAGCGTGAGTGGCCAGCAGCTGCTGTGAGCAGCCGTCCAGAAGCCGGTGACTGATCTATCTCACCCGGAAAAAGTGCAATGATGGTGCCAACTTGGGCCAGTGAAGCGAAGTCCTCCACAACTAGACTGAAGAACAAAACGACAGCAACTTGTCTGCTCCCCTTCCCCCAATTCCCCAGCACTGTTCCAATCCCCCCAATTCCCCAATAAAAATCTTTAGAAAAAAAGACTGACTTTAAAAAAAAAAAAAAAAAGAGCTCCAGATCTCACTTAGCTCTCTAGGAACTGTCCAGACACTAGGACATGTGAGTTGAGAAGTGAGAAAACCCACTCCATTTGGTTGTTTGTGAAACAAAAATATTAAAAACTTAGATTTCTTTTCTCTAGTTAACTTGATTTTTTTCTTGAAGAAACAATGGATACACTTTAAGCAATAACATATGTAAATATTGCTGCCCTACCTTTTCCATCCTAATTATTTCTAAATACTGTACTTGAAAACTAAAAGCTGTCTCTAAAATTAGATCATTATGATTTCTGCATGCCCCAGACTAGCAGTATGGCAGAAGGCCAAAGGGAAATAGGTTTTCATCTTGCGTGCCAGCTCTGCTCAATGGGAATAGTTGTACTGAGGTTTCTAAGGTTTTGTGACAAAGAATGCTGATTGATTATTGATTAGTGGGGGGTGGAGGGGCGAAAGGGAGATGCATTCTTTGTATTTACAAACCCAATAGTCTTTGGCTTAGTATTTACAATGTGCCACTCAGCTGTTATTTATGTAATCTATAAAGACATAGTAATGCAGCTAAAATACAGTTTAATAGTCTAAATTGAGAATTTAAGTCCTTCACAGATAATGGAGAGCTTGTAGTTCTAGTCTCTCTGTGGCTCTCAAGGACAAAGGACAACCAATCTCCAGGTCCAGGCTTCTATTCAAGGTGCAACCCTTCAGGAAAGCATGGCAGTCACAGCTTGGGAATGTGCTGAATGAATGCCTGTGTTTTGTACCACAGTCACTTATCCAATAAGGCGAGGTGAAGGCTGCAGACATGGAAAAAATGTCCCTGTCAGCTATGGAAAGATGACACTTCTGTGGCCTGGCATTTATGTGCAAACCAGGCGTAAACCTATATTTTTCTTTTGTTTCCCTGAGCCAATTTTAGTCTTGGTAGCATTTTTATATTGCAAGTCACTGGAAGAGAGAACCTATGTGATTTCTAAATACTGTTAAATAAATATACATTTCTAAAAATGCTAGTGGAAAGACCAAAACCATATAGAATGCATACTGCAGTTATTAAAAAAGATTATTTTCTGTTACGAGAACATTGATAAATTTTAAACAGCCTTTCTCAATATTAGACTTTTTTCTTTTGTTATTGGTTCAGATAACAATAAACAGTATCAAGCAATTGGATTAATTAATGAAAGCAACAGGATATACGGTATCTGTTAATACAGAATATTCAGAAATGAACAAAAGGCTTGCCAACGTCTTTCTAAAGCAAAATATTCTTTTGCAGCATAGTTCTCATGCACTGAATATTCATACTATGAAACCACTAAAATCAAAATCTTTTGCCCAGCAGACATCCTTAAAGCAGCTCTTCTCAAATATTTTGGTCTGCTCTCCCCCGCTTTACGCTCTTAAAGATTACTAAGTACTCCCAAAGAGCTTTGCTTACGTGATTATATCTATCTGTATTTATCATGAGAAATTAAATTAGAATTTTAAAACAAAAGAATATATAAGTACACATTTCATAAAGCCTCTAGAAGACTTCGCAGTAAACATGTAAGATAATGAAAGTTAAAAAAAAAAGTAAATTATGTTTCAGTGTTATTAAAAAATAGTGTTGACTTCATGGACCCCCAGAAAGGGCCATGGGGACTTCTAGAAGTCCCTGGACATCTGAGAACTGAAGTCTATGAAAGTCAGAAAAATGGGTAGAATTTAAATAAGGAAGACTCAGTGAAATAGTACGTTTGGGCAAATAGGCAGGGAGAAAGTATATAAATTTAGCAATTTATAAGCACTTCAAGTTTTTATAGAAGCATTAAAGCAGAGAACATCAGACTATATCAGCTATTAAAAAATTTAAGGTCCTAGGGGTGACCGGGTGGCTCAGTTGGTTAGAGCACATGCTCTGAGCAACAGGGTTTCCGGTTCGAGTCCCACATGGGCTAGTGAGTTGCGCCTTCCACAACTAGATTGAAGACAACAACTTGAGCTGAGCTGCCAGTGGGCAGCCAGATGTCTCAGCTAGCTAGAGCACATGCTCTTAACAACAAGGTTGCTGGTTTGACTCCCATATGGGATGGTGGGCTGCATCCCCTGCAACTAGACTGAAAATGGCGACTGGACTTGGAGCTGAGCTGCACCCTCCACAACTTGACTTGGAGCTGATGGGTCTTGGAAAAAACACATTGTTCCCTAAAAAAACACATTGTTCCCCAGTAAAGTTTAAAAACATATATATATAACACCATATATATATGGTCCTAGAAAAAGGGGAGAATATTTACTTTTGCTAACTAACAATGGTTTATTGTATCTCAGGGGCTAAACTTACATCTCTATAATATCATGAAGTCACAAACTCTCCAAGAAAAAAAAAATCTACAGAAGCATGAAATAAATGTTAAAGTGTAAAACAAACACTTAAATGATAGCTGTTGTCCTCAGGAAGAGGTGGGAAGAATGTTAAGCCTACATAAAAATGATACGCTTTGGCATAATCTGAAAAAGTGGAATGGTAATGTTTCTGAGCAGTTGATAAAAAGCAAAAAAACATTTCCAGTAACGGGGAAAATCTTACATTTCATAAGCAAACTATATCTCAGCCAGACTTATTTTCCCATGGTCCAACTCATATGCATTACTTGTTGGACTTTATGTATTTTGAAACGTGTGTAAAATCTGTTTAGGGCACAAGGAAATAAAGCTCACGATATCAAAAAAACAGAAGGAATGTTGTTCTCTGTCAAACTATGTGGCGTGAACTGTTTTAGAGCCAAGATTCCAGAGTAGAGGTGTAAGCAATGATTATGGTTATTTGATTTTAAAAAAGTAGCAGTAGGACACACAACACTAGGAACAATCATCTACTACTGTACTACACTAGAGCATCTCATGTGTTTTCGCATGTCTTCACAAGCATGTCCTTGCAACAGCTGAAAGACGCTGGGAGATTAATCTGACTCCTGCTCTTTATCGGCTTCAAATTCCTTCACCTTTAAAAACATTGACAAAACAACAACAAAAATTTCGTTTGGAAATGCTCAACACCAAATTAAAAGCAAGGCAAACATTTAAAGGGTAGGGAAATGCATTACTCTTGGAAAATCCTTAGTATTTTAGAGAGCGGTAGCTAATGACCCAGGCTCTGGAGTGGTTCTGTTCTGACTACAAAACTCTGGGCAAAACAGTCTGGTGTTTCCATGTCTGTGAAATGGGAAAAATGACCTGCCCTCCTATAATTTACGGTAGTAAATGGGATTATGGGTGTTCAATGTCTAGCATGACGCTGACCACAGTAAATGTTAACTGTTGTATTCAGAAGTCCACGAAAAAGACAGAAAGCTGGCACCACAAGCAGAAACAGTAATGATGAATCAGAAAATGATAGCGATCCACAGAGCCAAAGTTGTATTCAATAAGGTTCTTCTGTTTACACTTAAAGGTGCAAATGGTTCTTAAATGATGAGATTGCTCACAGTGGTTATCAGCCATCTGGACCCCTGTGAGAGGAGGCAGTCGTCTGGTGTGTGCTGCATCGTCCAACTTCTAACTCAAGAGATTGCTGTCAGCACATTCCAATTCTCCAGTATCCGTCCTTTCATCTCTTCTACCCACCCCCCACCCCCGCTTTTTTTTTCCATTAATTTACTCTACATATTTCTTCTCTTCCCTGAGACTTAAGAGGAAGGAGATAGACTGGAATGTGCCAACGAGAGCTATTTGGACCTTGGTAATCACCCTTTCCTGTCTTAACCTACGCTCTAATGACTACACAGTGAGACATCTGGTGGGAATCGGCCATGATGCTCCCACAGGAGGTGTGTTAGAGGCGATGGCAGAAGCAAAGGGATCTAACTGGAGAAACGCGGAAGTCTGGGCCTGTATCCCAAGTCCTCCACTTTTATTAGAGACAGGCCCTTGTCTAAGTGTCAACCTGCATGAGCCTCGGTCTTTTCATCTGCAAAATGGGGATAAGAAGTACCCAGTTCAAAAGGGTACTGTAAGACTATATGGAATAACATATGTGAGGGCACTTTATAAACTTCAGTTTAGGGCCGGCTGAGTGGCTCAGTTGATTAAGAGCTCTGAGCAACAGGGTTGCCAGTTTGATTCCCAGCCTGAGCTGAGCTGCCACTGAGCTGCCAACAGGTGGAAGGATGGCTCAGCTAAAAAAACAAAGCATGGATTATAAACTTCAGTTTATGAGGGAAATAAAAACCAATGCCTCACCAGTGATTTATTACACAACTTGTTAAAACTTTGTTATCTGAGGTGATTCTTGTACAAAAACATAAAGGCTGATAGACGATATCAAGGCAACAATCCTTTTAGCAGCTCAAATTCTATCTAATCATCCTGAATAAATCATTAATAGTTATAAAAAAACTCCTTATTCTTCATTCCATTTTAGGCAACCTACGTGTAAGTGGGCGCTTTCCTTAGACACAGGCTAGACTGCTTTAGGCTGAAATTTGGGGAGACCAAAGTAGAACAGCATTAGCCCCTAGTGAAAAAGTAGGCTTCCTTGAAGTTTTGCGTTTTTTTTTTGTTTGTTTTGTTTTTACATTTTTAAATAAAATTTATTGGGGTGACATTGGTTAGTAAATTATATAGGTTTCAAAGTGTGCAATTCTATAATAATACATCATCTATATGTTGCACTGTGCGTTCACCACCCAAACTCAAATCTCCTTCCGTCACCATATAGTTGACCCCCTTCTACCATCCCCCCTTTTCCCTCTGGTAACCACTAAGCTGTTGTCTGTGTCTATGAGTTTTTGAAGTTTTTAATTCAACCCACAGACAGCAAAGTAGTTAACAAATGGCAAGGACACTGAGAATAAATGGTGCCTGTAGAGGGGGTGTTTCATCTCAGCTATGTGCTGTGCCCCTTTATTCTCACTGACATTTGTGCCCCTGTGACTCTGTCCCTCTCAGTTGCTCTGGGTCTTGGCCATTAGCAGAAATTATTTCTAGCTTCAAAAGAATAAATGTTGATGGTTATGACGATATTGTGACCTCTCTGAACATGTTCCTATTTCTCCATTTCAGAGCATACACCTCCATGCTCTCACCTTCCTTTTTGTCACCCTAGCTTGAGAGGCCTGCTCCTTCTTCTCCAGGTTGTGTGGAACCTCCTTCTTCATGTCGTCTGTGGTTTTTCATCTCCATCTGTTCTGATCTATGGTTCCCCCTCCATTCTTGGCCTCACAGAGAGGCAGTGGGCCCATTCGTTCGAGCCCTGGCTGTCCGCAACAACAACTAAGACAGAAGGGAAGGACAAGCCTTCTGAGCCCTCTTCCAGGTCACAAAGCCCGAGAATGACGACCCTGACACTTCCAACACCTGCTTTTCTTCAACCTCCACTTCTCTCCTTATTAAATTCTGCCAGATACTAGGTGATTCTCGTCTATCATCAGATTATGTGCATTTGGCAGACACACAACTGGCCAAAAGACGGAAGGAACTGGAGCCTGCTGCCCCTAGAACGGCCACGACAGGTACAGTCCTCATTATGTTTGAGAGGAACATGGCTACATTCCACATGAATCCCTCAACCCAGTTAAAAAAAAAGATCTACTAAACTACTTTGTAAATGTCCCCACCAAAACAACGCTGGCGAAATCAAAACTTCAAACACAAGACCCCATCTGTTGTGGACAGATTCTATGATGGCCTCCAGGGATGTCTGCCTCCTGGTGTTCAGGCCCTGTGATCCACTCTTCTCAAGTGTGGCTGGGACCTGTGACTTGTGTCTAACCAATGAAATATGGCAACGGTGACTGGATGTCACCTTTGTGAATCAAGAATAAGGTTCTAAGGTCCATCTTGCTAGCAGATTCTCTCTGTAGACTCTTTCCTCACTGGCTTTGATGAAGCAAGCTGCCATGCTGTCAGCTACCCTGTGGAGAATCCCATGCAGCAAAGATTGAGGTGGCCTCTGGCTGACAGCCAGCATGGGACAGAGGTCCTCAGTACAAATGCCCGCAAGGAACTCAAGCCTACCAACGGCCCCTGTGAGCCTGGACGTGGATCCATCCCTGTCAGTTTTTAGATGAGACCCGGCTCTGGTTGACACCTGACAGCAGCTTCATGAGAGACCCTGAAGCAGAGGACTCAGCTAATCTGTGTCTTCATTCCTGACCCACAGAACCTGGGAGGCAGTAAATGTGTTGTTTTAAGCTACGACGTTTGTAGCCATTTGTTATGCAGTAATAGTGAATCCACCATCCAAGCTAAGACTGGTAAGCACATTAAAATTTTACAATGGAATATTACTCAGCAATAAAAAAGAATGAAATCCTGCCATTTGCAACAACATGCATGGACCTAGAGGGTATTATGCTCAGTGAAATAAGTCAGATACATAAAGACAAATACTGTATACTTTCACTTGTATGTGGAATCTAAAAAAAAAAAATGAATAAACAAAACAGAAACAGATCCACAGATATAGAGAAGAAGCTGATTGTTGCCCAAGGGGAGGACAGGTAAAATTTTAAAACTTTTTTTTTTTAAAATAATAAAAATAAATAAATTTTCCCCTATTAAGAGACAACGTTACATATTGGCAAGTTGCTAGTTTAAAAAGATGATAATGTAATGAGGTATTATTTCCTTTCCCCAGGACTCTCCTCTAAACCTTATGCCTTAGTTTCACTGAGTTAAGATATCAGAAGTCTGGACTTTTCTTCCCTCTTACTTAACAGATCCTACAAACTCAAATTTTCAAAACTTACACATCTTGAGTTCAATCCCATCCAACCACAAACTGAAGAACCTAAAAAGTCTTAAAAACAAACTGGTATTTCCAAGTGAACTCCCTTACTTTTCCTAGCCCGAGTTCTATGCACGTAGTTAGATATAGGAGCCAGTTTTTAAGACTCCTGCACATAATTTTTTCTACATTAAAAGCTTCAGTTGTTACAGCCTTGAAAAACTGCAAATCATTCTTACTTACATCTGGAAGTCTGTACAGCTTCATCGTTCTCTGTAAAGTCATATTTCTACTCAAGTGAGAAAATTTCACTTCTACCAATTTTCTGGGGTTTAGTGATCGATGCCAGTATCTGGAATACAATAAGGTTTGAAAATCGGATTGATTTCTAACTCTCCAAGTTTTCACTCTTTGTCTCAGTTCAGCTGTCATAGTACATTAATGAACATTTACACTGTGTCTGGCCCGGTGCTGGATACTGGTCCCTTTCCTACGTAATTATTTATCAGTCATGTTTTACCTCTACAATATATCCTGCATTCATAGTATGTTCCTTTATAGTTTGTGACCTTTCATCTCTTTCAGTAAAGAGGAATCTTAAAATGGCCAGTCATTAATAATGCCCAGCTTTCAAGTATTTAATGACCATCACTGATTCTATAGAAGGCAAACCAAAAAGTTTAAAAACATGAAAATAGTCCCCCTAAATCAGTAGCCTTCATGTTTACATAATGCACACCAAAGAAAACAACTTTTTGAGAAACTAGCTTGAATTTCTTAAATGATTCCAGTTTAGGTACTAGGATGAATGATTTGTATTAAAATATGTCTGTAAAGTCTTATTTATGAATAATTTAATAGGAGATAGTAATTTTATAGTTTTATCTTTCATACTATGTTTACCTTAAGTATTGTTTTATTTGAGTCAATAACAATGGAAGGAGATAAACCCAGATGCTTCAGAAACAGGTTGGTCCAGTGACAATTTGATAAACAATTTTCTCACTGAATCAACCTTTGAAATCTTGATAAGAGCAGATGAAGTCATAAAAATAGAGCTTAAGCTTCTTCTAACTCTTAGTAAACAGGTATGTCTGGGCTTTTCAACTGATGCTTATCAAGCTTCTGGAATAGTTCCTGATAGTGCTACAGAGCACGGTATAACACTGAGTGTTAGAGGAGGAAAAAAATGGTATTATACTGGACATCCCAAGATCGCGATGTCCTGGGTTTCCCCAGGGTAGAGGCAGCGCTTGTCTTTCAAATGGAAGAGACACTGAAATAGGGCTTCAGCCCATTAGCATGCAAATGGCTGTGTGCTAGAAGGAAGACTGGGCTCAGGGGTTCTTGGTTCTAGTCTTCGTCTCTGCTACCAACCAACTCCATGATCATGGAGAAGCCAAAATCCCTCTGAGCTACACGTGAAGAGAATAATATTCTAGCAAAAGGGCAGGGAGGCTCAATGCTTAGGTACAGGTAATATGCAAGGTAAGGGTGCTGCTATTACCTGCATGTGGCCACTGGCTTAGGAAGAACCACGCCAGTGGTATAAACGGCCTGGAAAATCCCTTCCAGGTTCACTCTTCTAGTTATTTCTCGAATTAACACTGGAGCTACCCGTTTTGATCTCAATTTCTTATGAACACAAAGAAAGTTGATTTCAACCATCTTCTTCACACTAAGAAATAAAGATGTCAAAAATCAAAACAAACATAAGATGAAAATGTTTAAAACAATAAGACAACACTCATAAAATTCCAAAGATTCATGGAAAAACCTCTTTTAGCACAATATTTAAGAAAAAATCTTCTATCATTTAGACATTTCACAAACTCAGATTGATACACCATTCCCTGTAGTCACCTGCCAAAGTGATCACAGCTCTCGACTCTGGAGACTCAAACCCCCTTATTCTAAATAAATTTTAGGATTTTGGTCTTGTATATTTTCAGTTAGAAATTGGATCAGGTGTGCCTCAAAGTTTCTCTATGTGCTTTTCCTATAATGTATACAATTATGGCAATAATTGGATCACCCTGATGCAGAATCTGATACGATGTTGCTCTGGGTATAATGTGATCTCCGGGATCCCTGATAAGTGCTGTTCTAAGCTACAATAAACCTTCCAGAGCGCCAAAGCCCATTCCTTGCTCTGGTTCCGGGTATGCAGGCATTTCCTTAGGCACACAATATTCCATGAGATCAAACACATTTTCACAGTAAATAAGCTAACCCAATATATTGAAAGGTAAATAGACCTACCTATTAGGCCTCAGAGCTTTCACTTTCTGGGCTGAAGGCCCAGAGCAAAAATGTAACACACTTATCCTATGAGTAGAAAGATTTTTTTTTAATTCCTGCTAATAAATTTTTTTAAGTAATTTTTTTCCACAGAAATAAATCTGAAATACCTATTCATAGCTCTGTTTATTCTGCTACATACATATATACATGTATATATTCACGTGTATATGTACATAAAACAGCTGTGTGTGCATGTATGGGACTAAGAGGCAGAGAGAGAAAAAGAGAGACTTGTCCTTTTTTGTTGTTCACAGACCAAAATATTTTAAACATTACTTAAAAAACTAATTTTTAGAGCAGTTTTAGGTTCATAGCAAAACTGAGCAGGACATACAGCGAGTTCCCATCTACCCCTTACTTCCCCAACACACAATCTCCCCCACTATCAATAGCCCGCATTAAATCATTTTTAAAAGCCTATTGTAATTGCAGTTCTTGGAAAAGCAACACATCAAAACTGACACAGGTAAGCTTTAATATGTACCTGTCATAAATCCGAATGTTTGCTGGGATGGCACTTATGAACCCTACCAGTTTTTTGTTTGAAGATACTCTGACCCCACAGTGCCACTGAAGAAGCCAGCCAGGGGGACGCAGAGCCCTGAAGTAACATAGGCAAGGAAAGCAGGCACCAGTTAGTGTCTAAGAATATAGGGACAGCAGGAGACATGCCAACCCACCCACCCGTCCACGGCCTGCGTGACCAGCCAGACTCACCAGAGCAGGAACTCCGGCGAATAGTCAAACCGGAACATGTTGTCATCATCCTCCACGTAATTCTCATTTAGCAAGGTGTACAGCTCCTTGAGCTACAAGATCAAACAGGTGTCCTGTCTGTGGTGCTCAGAACCAACTCAGAAGCCATCTGTGTGAATGCAGGTATTGAATTTAAGGGTTTTACTCACCACTTCGGCATTACCCAATTCTAAAGTGTCCCACATAAAACCCTGTGGCAAGGAATAGGGCTCTCGGCGCACGTTGTCTTTATCTGCTTCAATGGCACCATGAGATGTTATCACTTCATCTGGAGAGGGAGAGAAAGAGAGGAAGAAAGACAAAGACAGAGAATGTTCAATGACAAAGTGTGCTGACATCCAAAACTGTCCACTACATAAAACAAAATCATTTTTAGTTTAATATAATCTTTCAAAATACGGTATTGTTTCAGCTACCTCTAGAGCTAAACAGGGTAGCTGAATAGTGGTGGAGAATAACTGCTATTTCACCAATAAAAGAAGAAATCCTTGGTCATCCAACGACAAAGTGTACAATGAAATGATAGTGATTTCTCCATCTCGAACCCAAGATTACAGACTAATCACACAGCACTACTGGGGACAACGTAGACTGAATGACAGCCTTAGAGGTGTTCTCTTTTTACTCTGCATTTCAACAAATTGGGGGTGAGGGGAAGGGGACCCCTGACTCCTTCCAGCAGAATCTAATTTCAGGACTGTTTACATCTCTCCACCTGGACTGCTGGCAGTGCAGTTCACATCATCAATGTCTCCAGCGATTTCCACAAAGGTGCCCTTTTCCAATTCCTTCTCTGCAGCTTCCCAACGCAGCTGGGATAAAACCCGGGCTCCTCACTGTGGCTGCTGCTGGCCTGGTCACCTCAGCACCTACCCCACCCTGCTCCCAGGCTTAGCCACACTGATGACAATGACCTCAGGCTGGTCCCGGCTCAGTGCCACCTGAGGCTTCCCTCTACTTGCAAGGCCCTCCCCCTGCTCTTTATGGAGCTGGTCACTTGAGTGTTTTCAGATATAAGCTTACACATTGCTTTCTCACAGCATCTTTCCCTGACCTAAGCTTCTTCCTACCTGGTGTATATCTTCCCTCCACCTCTTCCCCCCACCCTGTGTGACCACCACTTATCCTACTTCCCCATCACCATTTCCCCGGTGTGCACCCCAGTTCCTGGCATTTAATAATAGACACTCAACAAATATCTGCTGAAGCTTTTTCAGCCATAAAAAGGAGGTCCTGCCATTTGTGACATGAATGGACCTTGCTAAGTAAAATAAGTCAGAGAAAGACAAATACCATATGATCTCACTTATATGTGGAATAAAAAACCAACAACAATAATAACAAAAAAGACTCATAGATACAGGGAACAGATTGGTGGTTGTCAGAGGCAGGAGGTGGGGGGAGGGGTGGAGAAGTGGGTGAAGGGAGTCAAAGATACAAACTTCCAGTTATAAGATAAATAAGTCCTGGGATGTAATGTACAGCATGGAGACTATACTTAATAATACTATACTGCATAGTCAAAAGTTGCTAAGAGAGTAAACCTTAAAAGTTCTCATTACAAGAAAAAAATTCTATAACTGTGTAGTGATGGATGTTAACTAGACTTACTGTGGTGATCATTTCACAATATAGACATATATTAAATCATTGTGTTATATAGTTGAACCTAATATAATGTTGTATGTCAATGATATCTCAATCAAACAAACAAACAAACAAACAAATAAATAAAGCCAGAAGGAGGGGGGAACCCAAATATCTGCTGAATAAATAAATGACCCTCAGGTACAGGTTCTTACTAGGACAGACCTTTTCACAAGTGGAAGTCACAGGGGTTGTACCAGCTCCATACAGTTTCCTTTTCTCTTCTTTCTAATCCCTGACTTTGGTCCTTTTGTCTTATCTCCACTCTACCAGCTCATGGTCATATGAATACCTTCCTCATGTCAGCCCAGGTGGCCCGATTCCCAGCTGCTCCCTTTAGAGTCCCTTTGGACCTTGGGCTTGGCTGTCCACACATCAGGGCACCATCCCATTCAAGCAGCTGCAAACAGCTGGATGTGTTTAGACTGAACTGGGACACGGCTTTGGAGAGAAACGGAGAGGCACAGTCTCTCTGACTTTTACTCATTCTCCCTACCTCAGGCTCCTTCTTCCACACCAGGGGTTCTAGGAACTGGAAAATCCTGCAGGAGTTTGGGGAGGGGCCAAAATGTGGTGAGTACCTGGGCTAACTTCCCAAAGAGTGTGCTGGGGTTAGGTGCCCTGGAGGTAGCTTTGTTCTCTCTGGGGTGGTGACCTAAAAGCCATCAGCAGCTTGCCAAGTAGCATTCAGCTAAACCCAATACATTCAGGCCAATAAAATGCATCCTTTTAGCTAATGATCATTCAATTCAGTGTCATTTAGAATCCTGTAAATTCATTCTTGAGAGTCTTCCTCCACTAACAAATACAATTCTAGAGCCTAAAAGAAAAGGTAGTGAGGAAATTTTCTTCTTTCTTTCACACTCTGAAGCTCATGTTTTTAAAGCTGCTTGGGGTGGGTGTGGGTGAGAGACAAGCGGTAACTTCACAAAAGTTTGAAAACCATTATTTGAAGGCAGAGAGAAAGATTTTTCCCTGATTTATATGTGATAAAAATGAATATTTGTACATAATGGGGCTATTAAGATAACTGCATGGCAATTAATCCTTTATGTTAATATTGTACACATTCTGGAAACTGAACAATCAAGAAAGAAAAACAGAAATAATTACAACAATAATCTTTCTTCATATATAAACATAATACAAAGTGCAGCAGGTTTGGCTTGTATTACATTTATAAACATTTACACGGCATTTATACCATCCTCTTTTTTTGCATAAAGTGAAAGAGGAGCAATTCCATGATATTTACGGAAACTGAAGTGATGGAGAAGCAAAGCGCTGAGGGAAGAGGCCTATTCTTCCATGACCCAAAGCCCTTTCGAGGCCCTTCCCAAGGTGTCTGATCCCCTTATTATACTTGAATGTTACTGCATTGGTAATAACTAACACCACTGTTGAGTGTTCAGAATCCTACTGTTAAACAGCACAAAAGTTTCTACTGCAATAAGATTTCATGGGACAAATTTTCTGTCTTTTGGAATAACTGAGATGTGAGACTGCTAAAAATGTAGCAGTCAGAGGGCCGGCCGAGTGGCGCGTTGGTTAAGAGCTGGCTTGGGA